GAGGAAAACTCTTTTAACATTTCTGTATTTTGGTACACATTACCGGTGCTAGTTAACTAAAAGCAAGCACTGCTGTCAGAAAGTCAACAGTTTAGACAAAGTTAATTTAAATCATGTAGCAGTTATAGAGTCTACTCTGTACAGTTCAGAATAGTGAAGTCACTAATACCTGTTACAGGCTTAAATGGTTTAGTAATTTAGTTCAGTCATTTATAAAGTTCAGGAAACAATTATTTTTACAGCTAAAACAGACCTCGGTATTTCTTTTTTTAAAAAAAGTAGAATTGTACAGGGGTTTTCATACTGAAGCTATTTTAGCAGGAAGAAGAGGCGGGCTGAAAGCATTCTTTACTCTGATGGAGATACTGATTCTTTGAACAAGTTAAAGGAATTTCTCAAGGCTGCTTTACAGTACCAGATTTTGATAACTGGACTGTACTACCGCATGGTTTTGAAACTGCAAGGAAGCTATACCAACACTAACTAAGCAGGAACAAGCAGGCATCTTTTCAATGTGCTACTTTCCCTAGCATCAACTACAACCTCTGGAAGCTTGTGTGAAGATGAGGGAAAGGTAGAGGCATGGGTCACAAACTTAAATGTTTAGAGGGATTTGGCAGGTAACATAATGAGTCATACAGGTTGGGGTAAGAGAAGATGAAGCGGAAACCATATATAATTGGAGAAGGAGCACATGCGTTTCTAAAGAGAAGGTAAGCTTTCAGCTTTAGCCAACTGTTATGTTGATTATGTAGGCCCAATGTTCTCAGAAGCTTCAATTTTTCAAGATAAGTCAAAACCTGAATTATATAACATCTCATTTTAAAAAGTTGGGAATCAACTGAAATTAAAGGAGAAAGAACTACCACCACAAATACCAGACAAAACACAGCTGACCCTTGAATAACATGGGTTTGAATTGTGCAGATACACTGATACGTGGATTTTTTTCAATAGTAAATACTACAGTAGTATATGACAGGATTTTCCTCAATAGCAAATACTATAGTACAATAATAAATACTACAGATCTGGGGTTGGTTGAATCCAAAGATATGGAACCATCGATAGGGAGAAAAATCTCAGATATGAAGGGCCAACAACAAATCCTACACAGATTTTCAACTGCATGGAGGGTAACCCCATGCTGTTCAAGGGACAACTGTGCGTGCATCTGGGGGAATTTGTGATCTCTAACTTATGTACTGGAAGCTAGTGAGGAGGGCCCCTTAGTGGCACAAATAAAAGAGTAAGACTGGAAGAATCCTGAATAAGTAACAAGGCACTAAGAAAGCAAAACTAAAACACATCAGTGTTAAAATAATGCACCAACCACTGTGCTGCTACAAATTTACCTCTGGGAAAGAGACTATTCTTTGGAGTTTGGAATTTAAACCTTGCAAGGCTAAAGAAAATGGTTTCCACTGTATATCCATTAGCAGATATGTGTTTTTAAAAGCTATGTAAAATAAAAAGGCATACAGAGGTAGAGATGGAGAAATGTTTTGCTTCACAGTCAACTTTAACTTTTACAACTAAGCCAACAAAGGTAGAAGATGAATACTAATGTTTATTGAACACTCAGGCATATTAAACTAACTTACCTAAAAATGAATCACAGATTGGATTACCTCTTGAGAAATGGAAGGCTTATCCTTGGAGATCTCAAAATGTACAAAATTATCACTATTAAAGAGTGTTAAACTGCTAAAAACAGCCAAAATGTCTAAGTAGGATTTTCATCTCTGAAAATCAAGCTGGGTCTTAATACTTACGAATTAATGACTCTCTTCACAAGATTATCTTAGAAAACTGAGAAAAACTAGTGAATAGTAAATAGTGAGATGTACACAGCACCAAGGAGGTGGGGAGGATTAAAAAAATCACCACAAATGAAGGTGACCAAATAGATCCTTTTTGAGAGATTGTATATGTGCACACTAAATTGCTTCAGTCATCTCCAACTTTTCACGACCCTATCCACTGTAGCCCACAAGGCTCCTCTGTTCATGGGATTCTCCAGGCCAGAATACTGGAGTGGACAGCCATTCTTCTCCAGGGGATCTTCCCAACCCAAGGGTCAAGCCCATGTCTCTTATGTCTCCTGCATTGGCAGGCAGGTTCTTTACCACTAGCAATTATTTGTGCTTAATAAAGATAAGGGCGTGTTCAGGATCCTACCTATACTAGGAAGTTTACCACTAACATAATAGATTATTTCTCTGGAAAGTTTTAATGGTGAAACTTTGATAGAAGATGCAAACTATGGATTACTAATATAGGGTTGAATGTACTTACCTATTATCTCAGATTCATAATAATCCTGTGTGCCTGCCTGGAAGACAAGACAGGGTGTCTTTATGATTTTAGAGCATAAATTTGGAAAATGGTAGGTCCATTTATATGGTAAGTTCATGTCCATCAAAGAGGAATGAAAAATAGGACCTATCTCCTCTTCTCAGAAGTTATTTAGCTGTTTTGTACTAAGGTCAATTAAAGTCTCCTTAGAAATCCTAAAGGCAGGAAAAAGTAGAACTGTAATAACAAACTTATACTGCATCTGTTCTTTGTTTAATATCTAAGATGGGCTTTTGATCAAGATGAAGAAATCAACTTACATGAATTCATTAATCATACCAGCTAAAGATTTTTTTTGCCAGACCAGGAATCACAGATATATTTTATACTAATGGATAAGGTAATTCAAATAAGAAATCCTTAATTTTTTATTTTCATTTTGATGATATTCTAAAACAGAGTAATACATGAATATCTGAGATCATTCAGATGAGCACAGTATAAATGTTTACAGCTGGGGGCTTAAAATGACAGAAACTGGTCTGTAGCAAACAAAGGCCACACAGTTTCATGGGTACTTGAAAGTTTTTCAATAGTTTTAAGAGAAGAGAGTTTCTCAATCTCAGCACTACTGATCAATATTCTGAGCCAGGTAGCTCTTTGTTGCAAGGAGCTTTTCTGTGAATTATAGGATGTTTAGCAGCATCCTTAGTCTCTACTCACTAGGTACCATTAGCACCATCTATCTAGTTGTGATAATCAAAGATGTCTCCAGACATTGCCAAGTGTCCCCTGGGAGACAAAACCTTCCCAGGTGAAGAATCACTACAGAAGAGAAAAGTGGTGAGAGAACTGAGTCCACACAAGGTGCACAGGAGAACAAACGTGTGAAATTCAAATGAACCAGAGCTATAATAATTTTACTACTCTCAAACTTAGAGCATATCACTAAAAATCATCATCCATCACATTAATTATTGTCAATGTGAATTTTATTAGTTTTGAAGTTTTCTCAGATTTAATTTGCCAATCTGTTTTGCTCTGACAGAATTTTTTTCCTGCTGAAAGCAAGTCAACACAAGATTCAAGTTTGAATTACACTTCCTCGTTCATTTTTTTCTAAGAAAGGGAAGTCAAGAAACTTCTTATCAACTAGAAATGTAACCTTTCTTAATGTTCTTTTGGTGTCTAAAGTTTCTTCTGGAGTCTTAACTTTAAAAAAAATTTTTATTTTATATTGGAGTATAGTTAATTTGTAACGCGTTAGTTTTAAGTATACACATATACATGTAACTATTCTTTTAATTTATCAAATACAATTCTTAAAGAAATCTCTTAAAGAAATTCTCATGAGCCCAAAATGGTAGACATATACTTAGATGCTAAATACCTTTGTTAATTCCAGAAAACGAAACAAAAACAAAAAAACCTCCCAAGTTTGACTTACACACACCAAAAAGCTAAAAAAACACTATTGGATACAATAATTTGGATGCAATAAATTGGATGCAACAGTCACTGTAGCATTTGTCTTTCCTGATATATGAGTCTTTGAAATAGTACGGTAATTGCTAATATGTCTTGTTCATATATATGCTCTCTATGTTTCTCTTCCTCAAATCAAGCAGAGCTGACAATATATTAAAACAATGTCCAAAGTTGCATATGAAGTTGAAAAGTTGTCTTCAATACAACTCTATTAATGGCAGATTCTTAAATCTTAAACTGGTTAGGTGTGGTTAACTATAGAACAGATTGCTGCAAAAAAGTGGAAGACCACAACCATTATAAACTTATAAACTTATAAACTATTCCTATGCTAGTAAAAGAAAACTTGGTCAAAGCTTTCCTTTTACATGCACTGAAATGGTTGGTTGGAAGATGAAGAAAAGATCAGAAAAACGGTTCAACCTGTCCAGCTTATAAGAGCACTTCAGCAATCAATGCTCATAAATCTTACAAATTTATCAAATATAACCACTGTGCCCCCAAAGACCTGGCAAGTTCTGCTGAAGTCACCTACGATCAAATGTCTCAAAATTCTTTAATAAGCCAGAATTGTCCTACAGGTTTAAAGACTCATTTCCTCTTTCTAAAATCCTCCAAGGATATTATTGCACCTTCTTTATGCTGGTAACTAGTTAGGAACAATTTACTTTTCTAAATCAATGAATGGGAAGAAAGAAAAAAAGGCCATAAAGAAGGTGTAATTCATTTTTCAGCAAGCTCTTCAACATGCAGCATCAGAATTTTTTGTTAAAATTAAAATAGCATCTAACTTTATTTCCCTTCTCGAGATTTATCTATCTTACAAGGTATACCAAGTAACAAAATGACTTACTGATAGGAAATACCCAACACGGCAGGAATTCTTAGATAACAGAAGATGAAATGACCAAAGCCTGAGATAACTGTTCAAAGTTTAACAAATTCAGGAACAGGGTGAAAGGGAAACAAATCTCCCAGTGATCCTCAGCTGAATTATCAAACTAAATGCAAATTTAGAAACCATTCAAAGCCAAAAATTCTGTGCATGAAGCTCACAATTCTTCACTTTACAATCTTAGAAGGATGAGGTCTATGTCAGGACTTCTGTCACTGAAAAAAATTCAAGTCAGTCAGACAATCTCAGATAAAGACAGGCAGATACAAGAAACCACAGCCAACAAGTTTTGGGGAGTATACTCATAACTATTCCTCACCTGCTTGTGTGCATGATCATAGGAGTTGATATGGTTGTCAAATTCCTGGTGTTTCTGATACTGCTTATCACAGAGTTCACAGTAAAAGTTGGCTCTAAGGTCTTCCAATGCTTTGGCAATGGCCTTCTCTTTGTCAACATAATCCTACAGGAACCACAAAATAAAACAAACAAAAAAATGAACTTGGTGAATGTTATAAAAAAGCAGTCTTATTGGAAGAGAGAAAAAGGGCTTTTCATAACATTTAATGGTACCGGTTAAAGTCAGATAGAACACAAGTAGCAATTTGGTGGGGTAATTAGTGTGTGGTTATACTAAGAGCTGTCTTCAAATAAACAAAAGTCGAAAGACCTTAACTTCACCTTCGCTTTTGGCAGTCTGGTGGACTAGATACTGTGGCATCCCCTACTCCTATCCCTGGCTAAAAGCCCCTCAACCAATCAGATATTATAAAACACAATTTTCACTGTTTTGCAGGAACCATAGAAAGAAAAGTAAATCCCAAGAGGGGCAATCAAAGAAGAAAAAAAAACAAAACAAAATTTAAAAATCAGCTATGACCTGAAACTGAAATTAGAGCTGTGATGGGCAAGGGCTTGCCTTAAAACATACGTGTGACAACGGTGCTTAAGGTTTGAGCAAGGTGGTGCAGCTAAACCTGAGAAGCCTCACTAACAAGAAAAAGAACCTGGAAGTGGGCTGGAAACTTTAGCGTCTCTGGGTCTTGGCAGAAGGGATAAAAAATGTTCTCAGAAAGCATCTTCAATTTTGGTCCCAAATTTTTCCCTAGATTAGGATCAGCAAAACAGGAGTTATAATCAAAGATTACTACACACATAAAAGGAAATAAATCTATCACAAGCAAGAGTCACAAAAAATAAGTAACAGATTTAAGCCCCCAAGAACTCAGATTTTGGAATATTTTATTATAGAATATAAAGTAACTATAAAATGTTTAAAATATAAAATGGAATTACAAATATGAGCAAACATAAAACACTATTATAAAAAACAAAACAAGACCAAAAAGCTATGTAAATTGCAGAAAGAACCAAATGAGACTTTTATAACTGAAAAACCTAACTGTAAAAAGTTTTTAAATGAATTAACTATTTAGGGGATGGTCTAAAAGAGAGTCAAGAAACAGCTCAAATTAGATATGGCAGGGGTGGTGAAAATGTTCTGGAATTAGACTGCAGCAATAGCTGCATGACCTTGTGGAATATACTAAAAACTACTGAACTGTACAATTTAAAAGGATGAGTTTCATGGTAGGTGAACCGTATCTCAACTGATACAATGGCTGAAAACTTTTCAGAAGTGATAAAAGACAGGATTTCACAGGTACACGAAGCACAAGGTAAACCACACAGGTTAAATAAAAAATAAGCACCTAATACACGCTAGTGAAATTGTAAGTTATGGGATCAAAGACAATGAAATCATAAAACTACCCAGAAAAAAATTAAGGATCACCCATAATCAGACTGATAGCAGATTCAAAAGCAATTAAAAAAAAAGATAGAAAATAGTATGCTTCGGTGTGAGAGAAAACATTTTTAATTGTATACCAAAAGAAAATTTGTTGAGAAAAGATGACATAAAGGCATTTCTAGATAAAAAGAGAATTTACCAACAGATTTATTAAAAAGGACCTTCCTAAAACAGAATTTTCGAAATTATAGGTTGTGACCCATTAGTGGGTCATGACATTGATTTAGTAGACTGTAACAAATAGAAATATCATGCTGTGGAACTGCTGCAACTCAATATGCCAGAAAGTTTGGAAAACTCAGCAGTGGCCACAGGACTGGAAAAGGTCAGTTTTCATCCTAATCCCAAAGAAAGCCAATGCCAAAGAACGTTCAAACTACTGCACAACTGCATTCATCTCACACACATGACGGAAGTGACTTAGCAGCAGCAGCAGCACCACACACTAACCAAGTAAAGCTCAACATTCTCCAAGCTAGGCTTCAACAGTACGTGAACCATGAACTGCCAGATGTTCAAGCTGGAGTTAGAAAGATCCAACATCCGCTGGATCATCGAAAAAGCAAGAGAGTTCCAGAGAAACATCTATTTCTGCTTTATTGACTATGCCAAAGCCTTTGACTGTGTGGATCACAACAAACTGTGGAAAATTCTTAAAGAGATGGGAATACCAGACCACCTGACCTGCCTCTTGAGAAACCTATATGCAGGTCAGGAAGCAACAGTTAGAACTGGACATGGACCAACAGACTGGTTCCAAATAGGAAAAGGAGTATGTCAAGGCTGTATGTTGTCACCCTGCTTATTTAACTTGTATGCAGAGTATATCATGAGAAATGCTGGGCTGGAAGAAGCACAAGCTGGAATCAAGATTGCCGGGAGAAATATCAATAACCTCAGATATGCAGATGACACCACCCTTATGGCAGAAAGTGAAAAGGAACTAAAGAGCCTCTTGATGAAAGTGAAAGAGGAGAGTGGAAAAGTTGGCTTAAAGCTCAACATTCAGAAAACTAAGATCATGGCATCCGGTCCATCACTTTATGGCAAATAGATGGGGAAACAGTGGAAGCAGTGTCAGACTTTATTTTTTGGGGCTCCAAAATCACTGCAGATGGTGATTGCAAGCCATGAAATTAAAAGACGCTTACTCCTTGGAAGGAAAGTTATGACCAACCTAAACAGCATATTGAAAAGCAGAGACATTACTTTGCCAACAAAGGTCCGTCTAGTCAAGGCTATGGTTTTTCCAGTGGTCATGTATGGATGTGAGTTGGACTGTGAAGAAAGCTGAGTGCTGAAGAAATGATGCTTTTGAACTATGGTGTTGGAGAAGACTCTTTTGGGAGTCCCTTGGACTGCAAGGAGATCCACCCAGTCCATCCTAGAGGAGATCAGTTCTGGGTGTTCATTGGAAGGACTGATGCTGAAGCTGAAACTCCAATAGTTTGGCCACCTCATGCGAAGAGTTGACTCATTGGAAAAGACCCTGATGTTGGGAGGGATTGGGGGCAGGAGGAGAAGGGGATGACAGAGGATGAGATGGCTGGATGGCATCACCGACTCGATGGACATGAGTTTGAGTAAGCTCTGGGAGTTGGTGATGGACAGGGAGGCCTGGCGTGCTGCGATTCATGGGGTCGCAAAGAGTCAGACACGACTGAGCAACTGAACTGAACTGAACTGAACAACACAGAAGGGTGAGAAGGGGAAAGGAATGATACATGATTGCTTTGCTAGCCTTTTATGGCAGAGTAGGTGCCATTACTCTCATGAGCAGCTCCTTCTAGTTAAGAGACCTAAAGATAAATCTCACTGCAAAGATTCTACAATTGGTTTTTTATTCAGTTTAGTATCTTCTGGACACTTTCAAAGCGTCTCTATCATCTAACATCTCTCTACCACTTCTCAAGTTAAGCTACTTAATTAGTAAGCAAGAAAAGGTTGCTGTATTTTGTGGAAGGCCAGTACTGAACAAGTTTGGACAGACTAGTTAAGATTGAAAAATGAATATGTGGCACATTATGATGCCCAATTTTCCTGAAAACTAAGGTGCAGATATATGATCTACCATCTCTTCCTGTGAAATGTATTTTCATGAGACTTTGATTCAAAAGTGAGCCGTACAAAAAGAAGTGCCAAGTGGAATCCATCTTCTAACAATGGTGGCTGCAAAAGCATATTGATTACAAGAGATTCCTTATTGTATCTCAAGTCTTTCAATGGGAACCACATTCCTTCTTTCCTAAGTAATTTCTTTGAAATTTCTTTTAGATGAGTCTTTTGCTGGCAAATTGATTTTTTTTATCTGAAAATTTATTTTTAATCTTTATTCTTAAAGATATTTTTGCTGGGTGTACAATTACAGGTTGATGGTTGTTCTGAGCATATTCAACATTCCATTAGATTGCATCAATAACAGAACTGACACCGTATTCTGATTTCCTTGTAACAGTTCTTCAAAGATTGTCTTTTGTTTGCTATTGTACAGTTTTACCAGGATGTGTCTATGTGTACACTTCCTTTGTATCTTGCTTGAGAGATTCATTAGGCTTCCTGAATATGTAAGTTGTGTCTTTCATCCAATTCTGGGATCTCTTCTTTGAACACTGCCTCTGCCATTTTTCTTTCATTCTGGAACTCTATCTAAACACATTAGTTTTACATTCTTTACCATGTAACTCATTTTTTTCATGTATTTTCCACTTCTCTTTTTTCTTGCCCTCCCTCTTTCCACTTTTTGCTACATTCTTCAGATGTGTTACAATTCAAAATTCAACTTTGTGCAAAAATGCTATTAAATCTTCCCCATAAGTCTTGTGCCCTTCCTTATTCATAATCTCAATTCCTTTAAAAAAAATTTTTTTAAACAAATCCATACTTTATTTATTTTTCAGTAAGTTTAAATCCTCGAAGAGTAGCAGCATCACACTGATTCTGGATCCAATGGCCTTAGCAGGAAAGATTGTTTCGGAATTGGTATGAACCATGTCACTGTCTCCTTGAGTGTGAGTTATCCTTCCCCAGATTACTCTGGTTTTGGTAGGTTTTTCACCAGGAGTCAGTGAGTTGTTCTTTGCTTTGCACACATAAGCACATCTCTTTCCTAGACAGAATTCAGTTTCATCTCAAGCATATACACCTTCAATTTTCAGCAGAGTTGTGTGGTTCCCTCTGGTTCCATAGATCCCGCTTACAGCCAGCAAAAATGGCCTCGGACCACAACCTTCCAGACATATTTGTTGTTTTAGAAGTCCTATTCCCAGCAAGCCTCCAGAGTCCAAGATGGTTTAAAGAGCCCAATTTATTCTTAAACATACTAAATATGCTTGTCTTACATGTTTTAATCTGTGCTGACAATTTTAGTATCTTAAGTCTTAAGAGGTCTGACTTGTCTCTCTTTTTTCCTCCATTAGTTCAATCCCACAGTGTCTAGTTTCTCAGTTGGATTTATGATCTGACTATGATCTCTTATTTGGGGAAGCTTTATCTAGGAGTTCTTTTTTCAAGTGTGTGACTAGCAGGATTTTAGTTCCCCATTCAGGGACTGAATCTGGCTACAGCCAGATTATAATAGGCTATAGCCAGCCTATTCAGGGCTATAGCAGTGAAAGCGCCACTGCACCATCAGGTAAATTTCCTTTACAGGA